AGATGTCAATAGCAAACATATACAGTAGCAATTATATGCAGTCTCAATTTGCAATACGAACTGTATATTTCCTCTGCTATGGTTTGTGCAAGGGAATTGATGAATCTCATTTTACAAATAATTAGGCCTCCTCTCCATGTTTTCCTCTGCTAGGTTAGTTTGCTCTTGCCAAATTACCATGTATAGTGCTAAGATCTGCAGTCATTTTCTGTTATATATATTGACACCGACTTTTCTTTTCTCCAGTCATATTGCAACAAAAAAGTGTGCGACGGCCTTGAACATAACATAGTAACAGGCCACCTCCCTACTTGCTCTGTTGGTTCTTTACCCTTTTGGAGAGTCAAAAATACATTGACATTTCAGGAATTTACTGAATTACGTAATGCCTTACATGCAGCTCTGCCTATTGAGTATTTATTGCTTCGTTGCAAAAAACGTCATGCAAGAGCGAGGTTCCGAAACTCTCTACTTGCTGTTTGGATTTTGTGATCCCCAGCCAATTTTGAAGGTGCTACAACTCCGTTGGGCTACTGCCGTTTCCATGGTGCAGTCTGCTGATTTGTTATCGCTGGTGCGTTTCAGCCCATCTATAAGATACAGGGGTACAGCTAATAGTTCTGTTTCCGTATATCTTATACGTCTACATCTGCATCATTTTATTTTTTCCCCCTTATGATGTGATCCTGAGTATAGTTGAGTTTACTGTATTTGAATCATTCTGTTCTTATTTCTGACATTAGAGGTGAACATGTCAAGGCACCAAACACATCAAGATGCTAATATTGCTATATGTATAATCTGTGTTTCCTTTTTTTTTTGTGGCGAAAAGATCTCTGCAAATGGGTGCATCACACCATCACCGCATCAGCTAGCTTCGTACATTCCTACTGGGGCAACAAAAATTGCTGCATATGTTTCTAATGGCCCAAGAAAAAAACGTTGCTGATGGTTTTTTACATGCTCCATGTTGCCATAGGTAAAAGCATAAAACAATGTTCTTTAGACACCTAGGTATTCTAAACATACTCATCATTGCTGTCAGAATTTTCTAATGACCAATTCTTGCATTTCTGCTTATTTGTGTCTCATGATGATCTAGGCCTATATGCTTTATACAAACATCCTATGAATAAGGTCTTACCAAGTACAGATCATGTGCAGTCTCCTACATTGTCATTGTGCAGTTATTTTATCTCAACTGATGATAAACATTCCCCTTAACTGAATCTGTCATTGTCATGGTTATCACACCTTACACATAGTTATTACTGTACTGTATCGTGGATTCCTGGACAATAACATGGGGAGCAGTTTCTGTCAGTTAGGTTGCTGAAATTCTCCTTTTGAGTTCCTCTACCTTCTATTACAAATCACCTTCTTACCTGCTCTTGGTGACCTGCATTATGACATTATCCTTACGCTGAGACAATTTGGCCGCCACTGTTTTTTTGCAGTGTAAGTTCGGTCCTTCTACAGGATACTTGCGAAATTAGGTTACTACAATTGTCCAGTTGTGTTTGCGTCACCAACATTTCCTTCGTCGTGCTTACCTAATAATTAAATTATGCCATATATGCAATGATGCTTTGGTTTCATTTGTTTGCTACAGCTAGGTCTGTCTTTTCATATCCATTAGCGGAAATAAGACAGTGAAGCCACAGACATCTGTTTGCATCTTGATGCATTTGCAGAATTAAACATTAGATTTTTCTTAGATGCATTGTCATGGGTTTGTTTGTTTCTGATTGATCATTCCTAACTCCATGATCATCTCAGAAAAAAAATCACTCTTTTATATCGTCATCGTCCAGGCAGTTTACCTCTGCATCTAGCACGAGCTGGCCATGTCCAACGTCTATGTACTCCAAAGGCCGCACCAGAGGCAATCCCTTCCCCACTCTCTCAGGTAATCCAGTTTCTTTGCTTTTGTAATATTGCTCTACCTCTGATTTTTCTAAAAATTGATCTGGTTTATAGTTCTAGTCGCATAGTTCTAAACCTTCATCGCAGGGCTTTAACTCTGAAGGTTGTTAACAAGGCAGACAGACCCATTCAGGTGAGAATGCCTAGATAATTTTGTTTGGACCTTGGTGCAAACCTGCAATGATTTTCTTTCCTACTTATCCTTTTGCTGTCAAAATGAAAAATGGTAAGTAATTTTTTTGTTGAATTTCTAAAGAGGAGATAGGTAGGCTTAAACTCATTCTTGAAAATTGAAATTGCATTCCTAATGGTTAAATTCGGTCTTACTCATTCAATGCCATGTTGGCATCCCTTCTGGCTAATGTTTTAACACCAATACCACTTGTGTCGAGACATGTTTTTGAACTGGCAGACATGTAATAATGTTGTTATATTACTACTAAATTCAGAGAACATTTGCCCTGTTTCACCATGTTAGGTTGAACTTGTATGGGTGTTTCGAACTACATGCAGGTGATGGTATTTACTGAATGTGACATTATGATCTTAGCATCTATGTCCATTTTAAAAATAAACTTGAAGAATAGGATTCTTTTAATATTACTATGAAAGTTTGCAGAAAAAGGAAACATTTTGCTCATCCATTAGATTGACGTCCCCCTCCCTTACCTTTTTTTTTCAAGGAAACGACCCTCTTTCCTTCTTTCGTTGAGTCAATAAATGTATTATCTTGGCCTTGTTCAGGTTAAAATCCTCTTATTACTAAACTTTGTTCCTTGTGATGTTACTTTGATCAAACTAGCATTTTGGATGAATTTAAATACAGTGTTTAATAAGTTCGATTTACATGGCATTACTCCCTCATTTACTATTTATTGAAGGTTTAAGGGTTTTTTTTTAATTACGATCATCTTGTAACCCTCATGAAAAAATTTCAAATATTGTTTGACCTTGCAGATTGGAAGCCATTACCATTTTATAGAGAACAATCCTTACCTGGTTTTTGATAGGAAAAGGGCCTCCGGCATGAGGTTGAACATACTTGCTGGAACAGCTGTTCGGTTTGAGGTGCTTTCATTCCATCCATGCTTATAGCAATTTTCATTTTAAAGATGCTAAGACTATATTCTTGTATTTGCCCTCCTACTTGTTTTAATAAATGTACTGCACATACCACTTTAAAACCTTCCACAACCTGATATCTATATTTTTTCCCCAGCCAGGGGATGCAAAAAGTGTTACACTTGTAAGCATCGGAGGTCATAAGGTAATCGGAGGTGGAAATGGCATTGCTGATGGTCCTATTGACAGTTCACGGCTTAATGAGGTGATGCAGAAGGTTAATGCAAATTGTTTTGGACATGAAGATTATCCAGATGCAAGGTTGATCCTTCCTATTTTATTGATGGCCAGTGACAAAATTATTTCATTTTTTGCCTAAATTTATCTTTTAAGTTTGTATGCAGGGAAGGTCTTATTGGTGATGGTCCATTTGACTGTACTGTTGATCGTGAGAAGTATGCGAGCATTTATGGACCTACCACTGGTGATAAGATTAGGCTTGGTGATACCAATCTTTATGCTGAGCTTGAAAAGGACTTTGCCTTTTATGGTGATGAGTGCATATTTGGCGGTGGAAAAGTTCTGCGTGATGGCATGGGACAAGCTACAGGGTACCCAGAATCTTCCTGCCTAGATACAGTTATAACCAATGCTGTCATCATTGATTATACCGGAATATACAAGGCTGATATTGGTATAAAAGGTGGACTTATAGTTGCTATTGGAAAGGCTGGAAACCCTGATGTCATGGATGGTGTCCATAGCAACATGATTGTTGGGGTAACTAACTATTTCCTGAACGTTCCGTATTAATTTGTACGCTTCTAAATTAACCCTATCAAATACCGTAGCGTTACTATTATTACGAAGCCAGCACAATTGTTGGACACGCATTTTACATCAAGTTATCCCATTCCTATCCTACAGTCTTCCTATTTTCTCTATTTATGACTCAATTCCTGTATATCTGCAGCTCCCCAGACTTCCTCGACTGATCGTCGCCACCTGTTGGATGCTCGCTATGCCACATGGAGATGATTAACGTATTCCATATTGGATTCATAGAGACCAATATGGCGATTAATCTCCTATTATAGGTTGCCAATATTTTCAAGCTTAGGGCGCTAATTTAATGTACCAAATAGACCAACCTTTCAGTATAACGTGATGAGAAAACATATTAGACATATGAGCTATATTTTCAAGATTTTTCCTATACCAAGCACATCATCCAGCGAAAGCGTGGCAGTGATGTGATAGTGTGTGTGTATATATATATATATATATATATATATATATATATATATATATATATATATATATATATATATATATATATATATATATATATAGGGAGAGTATATTTAGTAGCCAACTATAAAATAAGTTATTCATACACTTTCATTTACGATAATTTTATATACTAATTTACGATAATGTCAATACATATTTATGATAGTTGGGTTACTAAAACACATGAGGATATTTTTACGTTATAGTAAACCACTTAGTAAGGAGTTACTATAATCTCGTAAATTAATATAGTAATTATCATAACTCAAAGTAGTTACAAAATAAGTTATTTTATAGCCAGCTATATATATATATATATATATATATATATATATATATATATATGTTGCTCGGGTAGGAAGTTGGATTAACAAAAGGTTGTGGTACCAAATATGTAAAATTCTATTTGCTGTTGAAAGCACACTGCCAAAGCATGAAACAACAAAACGAAAGTGAACATGTACATCGATGTGAATGTCGCAAGCAGAAACTGTATGGAAATAGCATGACTAAGGGCGTGTAACCAACAAATGGAAAGGAAAATAAGCATGTCTTTCCAAGTAATGGGGGGCTCAGGGCTTGGGTAGTGTTTAGTTTCCAAAATTTTGCAAAATTTTTCAAGATTCTCCGTCACATCGAATCTTGGACGCACGCATGAAGCATTAAATATAAATAAAAAATAAAACTAATTACACAGTTTTAGGCGAAATTAACGAGACGAATCTTTTAAGCCTAATTAGACTATGATTGAACACTAATTGCTAAATAACAACGAAAGTGCTACAAGACAATTTCTTAAAAAAATCGCCAACTAAGCACTACCTTGGTATATTATTTCGTGAAACACCAGATGCGATCACCGGATCAGTAATAACAACATGGTGCAGGTAGGGGCTGCAACCACCGCCTGTGGATACTCTCACAGTGTATCAGTTCCACAGGTGAACTGCATAACAATCTGCATTACTGCTGCTGGGAGTGGCGTCAATGCTGCCAATTGCGGAGTCCCTAGAAGAGTACGTGACTTCAGTTTGCAGTTTAGTAAAATAATGGAGTTTCTGGGGGGCACAATTCAGTTTAGTTTCAGTGAACATTTGTATGAAGGAGCAGTTGCAGTAGGCGAATATGTTAGTGCTAGGTTGGCAGCTATTCTATTGCCTAATCGTTGTTTAGCGAAAAGTGACGAAGTGAATGTTGTTGGTACAAATCCATGGAAATAGTATTGGTGGGTGTGATAATCAAGTAATTAGAATTTGGGAGTACTGGCTGAGGAATGGGATATTCCTGAGTCTGAAAACATTGTAATGGAGAGATTTGTTTTTGGGTACAGCGGGCATATAAAAATATATAAATGAGAGTATAACCCAAAATGTGGTCACTTAAAGAACAGGAGAAGGATGATATGCTGGCTGGTAACACAACTATTATAAGACCTAGGACGTTGTGTAGTGTTCTGCCACCAATCTAGAATTAACAAAGCTGCAGCTGGAATCACGAAGACTGCTCTCAAAGGAAATTGGTTTTATGAGGATAGCACTACAAAATTTGGATCATCTGTTGGCTGAGGTACAATTCTTGGATAGTCCTTGAATAAGCAGAATGAGAAGGTATTGATTTAGTTGCCGTGGACCTGGATGTGACCCAAAACGCATGTTACATGGTTTCCCTGAAGACATATGGTTTGGAGCATACAGAAACTTTCAAAGGCAAGGGGACATATGGTTTGGAGCATACAAAACTTTCAAAGGCAAGGAACGACGAACATACCTAGTTAAACATAAAATTTTCAGCAATCCAGGAGTGTAGTAGGCTGTAGTAGTAGGAGATTAATTTATTGGAACATTTACATACTTAGTAGCAGTTAAAAGGATAAAGAGAGAGGGAAAGTTTATTTAAGGTGTAATAGCGTTAGGTGTTATTTATCCAGGAATATCTGTTGCAGTTTTTCACCAATGTATGTATGAGCTTACACATGCGAAGGCTAGTGTTCTATTCGTCATCAGGAAAAGAGATTATAGGAAAGTTTACAGCCTAAGGCTCACCATTGAATATAGTAGGAGATCATTGACTGAAACAATTGGGAATGTCAAAAAGTTGGGACCTACAAAATAATAACTTCAGTTAGAGGGGGAAAAAGTTCCATGTTTGACATGACAAATTTTGGATTGTTAACAGGCGCAGGTACCTATGGAGCAGTGTAACGGATTCGTCACACAATTAGGAACTTAAAAAATAGAACAGTAATGGGGAATTGCATGTAGGCTGTAGTACCTGGATACAGTAGCTATCCGCTGATATGTCGTTTAAAATTTCAGAGTAGACAACATTATGTGTTTGATTTTCATATCCGTCAGAGCTATTTTCAATTAGTACGTATCCGTAAGCCTCCAGGTGATGTAACACGTGAGAATGCAACATAAAGTTGGCAACACTGGAGTTGGCAGGTAGACGCCAACTATATCGAGTGTTTGTCCTTGGCTTCTATTTATTGTCATGGCATATGAGACACGGTCACACGGACTAGGAATTGTCGCCGCTTTATCTTGAAGGGCCACTTGGGATCAGACGAAGCAGTGACTACTCTTGGAATATAAGTCTTAGTTCCTTTAGCCTTTCCGGTAATTATCTGAGCTTCGATGATACAAATGTGTGAGTTGTGTCACTACGAGTCTAGTTCCATTGCATAAACCTTTTGAGGGATTGAAATTTCTAAGTAACATTATGGGAACATCAATTTTAAGCTGCAGATGGTGGTCTGGAAGGCTGCTCATTGTAATAGTGTTGAGGAACTCCTGAGGATAAAGGGTTTCTAGAGTGCAATAGTTGGACGTTGGATCATCAATAGAGTCTGAGCTGTAGTATGACATCTCTTGAGTGGCTATATAGCTAATCATTTTTGCATTTATAGCAGCAGCCACCTCATTTGTTGGTGCTAATATTGCTCGTTTACATAGATAAGTGGGTAACTGGGAGTCCTCTGGAGGCGATCCGTACACAAAAGAAATCAAATTGTCAAGCGTTCTTTGTTCAGGTGACAGTAAGAGGTTGTCTGGAATCAGAACCCATGATGTGTTGGGTAGGTCTGTAGGCCCGCTGCCCTGAGCTGTGCCATCTCCAACTGAGAGGAGCCACCTGGCAAAATTATCCAGCTCAATTCTTTTAGATTCCGAAAGGTTGGGGCATCTAAGTCTCATGTTTTCAGTCAGCTGAAGCACTTTGCAATTCCGCCATAAGTGAGATCGGGTGATTAATGCGGCCAAGATCTGTGTTTTTTTGGCTTTTGGAATAATTGGCAGGGTTTGTCGGAAATCGCTGCCAAGGACAACTGTTATACCACCAAACTGTTTAGCTGCTGCTTCATTGTTGTTGGATGACATGATATCCCTGAGTGTGCGGTCAAGTGCTTCGAAGCAGTGAGCCTGTGGTTGACAGGTGCCTCGTCCCATATAATCAGCGTTGTATATTGTATCAATTCAGTCATCTGTGTGTTCCTTTTTATTGCACACACAGAGTGAGCTTGGATGTCTAGGGGGGAGGTTGAAGCGTGAGTGTGGTGTTCGGCCTCCTGGGAGTAACAATGCTGCTATTCCCGAAGATGCAACTGCTAATGCTATTTTTTTCGAAAGAGTGCTTAGCACGTGCTTCATTAAGGAAAGTGGGAATCAAGGTACACAACCCGAAGGCCCGGTTGGTTAGTTGCCATAGGCGCGACGGGTAGAACACATACAAAGATCACTGGCTCGAACGGTGGAGCAGCAAGGTCGTAGTGATGGCTAGACTAATTGTGCGACAGAGAGCTAGGGGAAGCCCGCTAGGCTGCAGGCGTGAAGAGCGGCGCGAAGCTCCGGAAGCCGGCCGCTATCCAGTCGTTGGCTTCGTGACGGATAAGAGATACGAGCTCGGTCGGCGTCTTGCAGGAGGAGTCGAAGGTCCTTCTATTGCGTTCCTTCCAAACCTCCCAAGAAACAAGCAGCACCAAGGAGTCGAATCCCCGCCGGAAGGACTCGGGATCCCGCATCCGTTCCTGCTGCCACCAGTCGAGTAGAACGGACAAAGATGCTGGAACCGACACGCCACCAAGGTTCAGCGTGGCTATCAGCAAGTGACAGCTTCAAAGTGACGGAGAAGCGGCGAACGCAGGAGCTGGAGACACTCCAGAGGTCTCGACGCCAGGAGGTTACTCCCCTCGGCCACGCCCGATCGCGAGCAAACAAGCAAAATCAAAACCGGCTCCGATAAGTTCGCATCATGGAGGCAGACAAGTTGGCGACTTTGGTTTCCTGAAGACAAACGATGGAAGCTCGCTGTTGCTCGGCGATGTCACGCACTACATTGCGGCGCGCGCGGTTGTTCATGCCGCGTGCATTCCAGACTAACAGGTGGTTCGTACTCATGGTAGAACGCTATTGCGACGTATACCGCGGTGCTCAGCCAACCGTGCTATAGCTCCAGCCTCGCCCACGGTCCTCGCCCAGCGTGCGCCACGCATGGGGAAGAGCTCGCGCAAGGCCGCCCTTTTCGAGGTAGAGACGGACCCACCGAAAGCTTCGTGGAATTGGGATGCAATCGAGTCGTCCGGCGTTCCCGTCGCCGTGTTGTCCGAACGCCCGGCCCATTTGTTGAGCGGGGCGCGCGCTGCTTCTCGGCGCGGGTCACGGAAGGCCGACTTGGCAGCCAATCGGTCCGCTCGCGACGCGGAATCCGATCATCGTCGACGTTCTTGGCTGTCCGGGCACGCGGTGGGGTGCA